TAAGGATATTTCTCCTGATTCAGTACTCCCAGGAATTACAGTAACTATAGGATCAAACCGGAAATGCGCACACACCATTTTGGTCTTCATACCTTCATTTTTGTAAGTTGGTTGAGCTCTAGTGAGACCTGTACTAAAGTACCTTGTCTTTCGCCCATAGCCATAGTAGTTATGATAATTTCCCTTGTCGAATAGGCGATTTATTTCAATTCCAGACGGCAATGACAATTTCCATTCCTAGCGCCAAGCTATAACTAGTCAGAGATTAATCCCTTCTAATTAATATGGCAGAGGATGTCGAAAAAGGTACATTCATTGAGGTCGCTCTGACAGCATTAACACTTCGTGAAAATCAGGTCAAATAAATTCTATTCAGCGGAATCTGCAACAGCTTGGTCTTCATACGTGTGATTCAACATGTAGGTGTAGGGTAATAATATATTCCTTAGCCTATTCAATAGAAACTGGCTAGAGAGTACATTTCTACATAAACTCATCACCCCAGTCACACCAGGATGGTGTGGCCCTTTGTATGGTCGCGGTCTCCTTTCGTTGTATAGAAGTCGCTTGGGTCATATTGGCAGGAAGACATAAAGGGACACACCTTGTCTGGAGTCCATAGTATGCATGATCATTTCCAGAGTTGCACCGTGGACTTGGTACAGTACCAGACGTTTTGTCAGCATCATCAGTGAGTCTTGCCAGTCTCATCAACTAAGCTACAACTCGTCAAAAAGACAAGTAAATCAATTCCTCGACCATTTTTTAAATCCAGACGGTCATCGTTTTGTCCTGGTCCCTCTATCCATTTCCTACCCTCTTATCTCGTCCTCGTCCTATCACAACTTCTGACATGTTAATATTCCACAAGAGATGTGCCCTTTTGGCACGTACAAAGTCGCCTTATCTTCAGAGCGCCTAGGCTCTGATTCCAATGCCTACGGATATTGGGCATTAACTTCACGCATCCTCTCCTCAATTAAGCCCTCGAAGCCTGAGAAAACTGTGGACATCTATCTCTGGTCTCCTGCTGCGTCTAAAGTTGATTATTAGTCACTTTGGTCATAAGGCCCAATTTCTGTGAGCAACTCCATCTCCCTAATCACGTGAAACGTCAAGCGCCCAAGTTGTAGTTGTTTCTTCGAGCTGACTAATCTCACTGAAAACGTCTCCTCTTCATTTACAAAACTTCTTCACCCTTTTCTTCCTTGCGATCCATTTTCCTCTGGTTTACGATAGATCCTTGATCCAGACATCTTCTTTTTGCTTGTCTTGTTACATCCCTGTTTTATCCGAGTTCGATTAGGCAATAGACAAAGTTATCGCTGACTCTGCCTTCTTCCAATCTCCTGTTCATTAATTTTTTTCTCCTAAGGATTTCAATGACCATTTCTTTGTGCCTCAACTGTATGAGACCCTTCTTTCTGTTGCCTTCCAATTGGTCTCGTGTCCAGTCTCTGTGATGTGTTCCGCTATCTTTGATATTTCACTACCCATTTTCCTGCAGAGCCTTTGATGTTCCTTGATTCGTTTGCTGATGCTTCTCCCAGTTTCGCCAATACATTTATGTTAGCAGACGCTGCACGCTATCCAGTAAACTCCCCAGCAGTCCAATTGGTCTATCTGCTCATGTTGCGCGGGTGGACTTGTGGAAAGTGTTGTTTTTCCCCTCGTGGTCGCCTGAATATTCCATTTTCTTAATATTGGCCGTATTTTTTAAGCTAGTTCACAGGAAGGGAGACATATCCACTTTTGTGAGTCTTCCTTCATCCTTATCCTTCTTTCATGATCTCCTTCCTACCATCGGCTCTTCACGACCAGTATGTTTCTTTGAATTACTTCTCTCGGATATCCATTACCGAGGAATATCCGAGTCAATTTGTCCTATTCTTCATCCAAGAATCCCACGTCCGTTAATCGTAGGCTTCTGATTATCATGCTACTCAATATGTCTACTTTCATTCTGTAGTTATGATGATATTCGAAGTGAATATTATTCCGGCATATGGCTTCTTTTGGAACAATTTCCTCTTGAGTGTCACAGTAGAGCTAATGCCCTCCACATCTAATGCCCCTCTTCCTCTACATCCATTTTGAACTTGATTCTTTCATTAATCCTGTTTATAAACTTCAGGAAATCCTCACATTTTTCACTTACATGCAACCATATTGCAAAGTTGTCATCCAGATACTGCATAATAACTCTTGGTTGCAGCGGTGACACCTTGAAATTCTCATCTAATTTTTTTATATATACATTTGCCAATAGAGGGGAGAGGTGATCCCATAGGAAGTCCAAATGTTTGTTCATAGATGTTGCCATTGAATGTGAAGTAGATATTACTTATTGAAAAGTTGACAAGTTGTGTTTATGACTTCCTTCTGATACTCTCGGCTTCTAGGATATCCTTTTCTCGATCCAAAATTTCTACCAGGGCCGTTAGCGTTTCTTCTCCATAATTGTTTGTGTACATACATTGTACATCAAAACTTATCTTAAATTCTGTTTCTTCCAGTGTTATGTTTTTGATCCTCTGAGAAAATTCATATGAGTGCTTCACTGTGTTAGATAATCAGTCATTCACCTGCTTGAGTTTCAGACATATGAACTTTGCTGAGAATGTACCAAATCCACGGTCCGACTCTGGAAATGACCATGCATACTATGGACTCCGG